GAGGAGAGGAATAAGACCTTATGAATCCAGATAGATGAGACACTCAGGTGTCCCTTGGTTAATCAAGATGGCTTTTTATTTTAAATCTGGACTAAACCAAAAATTTTCTAAGGAAATTCATTTTCCTGAGTTTTCTCCTTTTTATCTATATTATAATAAATGAAGGGGGACTGGATGTACTGTAGCTTCCTAAAAAACTAAATAATACTCCCACTGAGCTGCACCCATTTTGGTGAAATTTCAATCACATTCATATTGGCTTCTCTGTAGTCTGGGAGTGATTGTGAAGGGAGGTTTCAGGTTTTATGGACAATGAAATCCCTTTGCTTTTGCTTCACCATACATGCAGGCTGCACTTTGTTTATGATATGCCAAGATTCCAGCGTGAGCCAGGCTGATGTTCAGTGTATTGTCCAGGCGGCATGCCACCAAGCTAAGGGCTTCTCCTTTCTCCGTCCACGGGCTCATTCTCACCCATCTGGCTTACAAAAAAAACATTTTTCTTTGAAAAGCAAAATCATTTCACTTTTTGAAAAACAAATTAGGGCAAATCCTTAACTGGAACACACATGGTTTAGAGCAGAAGAAATTGTTGTGCCACATTTTGAAGAAACTGCAGAAGAAACAACTTTCCATCATCTCTCTCCCTATTAATAGTAGTTCCTGGAAATACCGTTATAATTTCTAAATGCGGTCATATATAATCTCAATCAATAATGTACAGGGTGATGGATGCCTCTCAAAGATTTTACGTCAAACCACATGGATACACATGGCAAAGGAATGAGCGATGAATGTGTACTCCTAATGTGACAAACCCAGACAGATGGGTGGAGAAATAGATAATAGGTGAGGAAGAGTGTAGATGGTGAAGGGACTTTATGTTTATCCCGATATTTAGTTAAAATTTTCTTCATTTCCATGTAAGTGTTGTAGATTTGGATGTTTTGGTGTTGGGGACTTTGTTTTCTTTTCAGTTTTGTTTTTCCTTCAAAGTATCAATTAGAAGAGCATTCGTGACTAGAGCTTTCTCTCGAGGTATTTTAACACTAATATATTATTTAACAAACAATCCATGTCT